CCCATCATATTGAGAATTTGTAAGTTGGTGGACTGTCTGGTTTACATGAAAAGGTGATCAAGAGCAAGGGCGGACTGCAGACAACCTGGCCAAACCCTTGGCATGCTGAGTTTCCTTTCTGCTGCCAGGAGGTAACAAGGAAGGGTAATGTAGATCCATGATCTCACCAGCTAACCCCACTGCATCAACCTTTGTAAGATCCCCCTCTGTTTTGAGGACAGACAACCCTTGACTGGCCTTCTGCTCTCTATATCTCTTGCCAATGTCCCTTTTTCCCAGAAGCCTTGTCGTCCACATTCACCAATCTCCAGTTTGCTTCATTTCCTAGTCCTGAAAGTCATCAAGGGATACTTCAACCTGCTCCCCAGTGAAGCTGCAATTTTGCATCGCTTCCTCAGCAGATGTGTCAAGATACCAAGGCTGCCAGCAGCTTCTATTCATACTCTCGTCTGTAAGTGACTGAACCTTGCTTATCCAAAAATGACAAGTAGTGGCTGGACCAAACACCAGATCATCGATATTAGTATCCTATTATATTTATTCAGAAAACTCAGAGGAGAGGGCGGTATTTCTTTGGGATCTCACATTGCAGCAAAAGAAAGAAAGAACCCATGAGAGTATCATTGCTTTGACAGTCTCTGTGAGGGGAGGGAGAGAGCTAGATCTGAGAACAATTCAAGGCCCTTTTCTTAAAACGCAGCATTTTTCAGATGGTTGCTGCACCAAGAAGAATCACCTAATAAAACTCACTTAGAAGCATCTCCGCCTGGCAGGGAATATTCTGCCTTTGAGCCTTGGAAGGCAGCCCAATTGCAATGTACCCCACATTCTGGCTGAAATGAACACAGGATTCACGTTTATGCTGCACAGCCAAGCGGAGCACAAGTGCCTTTGCAGCTGGTCGGTACACATTTAAACTGGGCCCTGCAGTGCATCAGCACCGAGCAGTTAGGAAAGCTGGGCCAGTCACCAGAGATTCAGGGAGCTGGCCTGAACACAGGAGGGTGCTTCATTCAGTCTCCAACCTCTGTACAAAAGTCCCAGCCTTCTCCACTATCTGCAGGGATCCCATAAAGCCAGGGGCTGTACAGGGACACCTGTGCAACAAGGGCTTTGCATCATTGCATTGCAGGGTGTCATTACGCTTGACATGAACTTCCCCGTGACTGTGGGGTTTCCTTTCTCTGCGGAACCCCTAGAGCATGAATCTAAACCACACACTAGGACGTCTGTGATGCACAGTTGTTTTGCTGAATTCATATAGAGAAAACTCAGTCATCTGTAGTTGAAACCCATTGAAACGTTTTAATACATCCACTAAAAATGATTATTTCTTCATTATACTATCTGCTTTGGTAAGCTGTGGTTTACACATTGTTATCAGTCATGATCCCTTGAGATACTGTTCATTAAAAATTCCCAAACACAGAGTTTTTTTTCATTTCAGGAGCAACTTGAGAAACTGCAAGTCACTTCTGGTGTGAGAGAATTGGCCATCTGCAAGGATGTTGCCCAGAGTATGCCCAGATGTTTTACCATCCTGTGGGAGGCTTCTCTCATGTCCCCGCATGAGAAGCTGGAGCTGACAGATGAGAGCTCACCCCACTCCCCAGATTTCAACCACAGACCTTTCAGTCAGTCCTGCTGACACAAGGGTTTAACCCATTGTACCACCAGGGGCTTCTCCAAACACAAATAAATCCTTACAATCAAATTTACGAATATGACAGTTATATGATATTGCTATCAGTAATCCATCTATCATGGCCGAAAATGTATCACGTAGACAACACCCGTTGCCTTAAAGCAGAATGGGCTATACAATGGTTATGTTTATCAAACGTCAGAAAGGGCAAGACAGAAGCTCATGAGCCTCGTCCCCTATCCCCATTAAGCTTTTTACGTTTTCTCAAGTCTATGACTGCCTTAAATGTCACTGTGAAGTCCGAGATCATTAGCAAAAGCTTTTCAGCAGATTTTTCCCAAACTGAGTAGATCAAATATATCAATATACAAATATGAAGCCATGACAAGAAAATTGTAGAAAGTAAATTAATATTATTGTTTATTTGCTAAAGTGTCCACAAAAATATGGAATGAATTGCTGGGCTGTAACATTCTGGGAAGTGGCAAGGAGGCTGTTTTGTTGATATACCAATGCAAGCATGCACACATACCTGTACGTTTTTTTACAAACGCATCTGTATTTATTTATTTATTTATTTATTATTTGCTGCATTTATATACCACTTTTCTCACCCCTGAGGGGACTCAAAGCAGTGTACACCAAGTAATGGCAAGATTCAATGCCCACATATATATACAAAACCAAAGCACAATAACTAAGACGATAACATATAACTAAATATTAAACCTGAATCTGTGTGTAATTTGGGATTCTTGAGTGCAGGAATGGAGATGTGAGCAGAGAGCCTAAGTTTATGTTAAGGTTGCCAGCCATCCAGAATTTTATTTATCTGGACAAGATTTTACCCTCTCTGGCCAACTCCCAGACAAGAGGGACGTGAAGTCAGAAGGGGAATGTGTGGAAGTTACACTGAAGGGAGAATTTCCGCTAGGTACAGATGCCTGTGTAAGCTTCACGTTTCACTGCAGATCTTAAAATGCAGGATTCCTGTCCAACAGGAGGTACATGGAAAGGATTGTTCTAACAGACACTTGCACAGCCCCAGTGGCATTGTGAATGATGGGAGAAGCTACACATGATCAAAACTCAATTTTTAGTGTAACTTGTGTGAGACAAGCATCCTGCACCTTGGAGGATCATTTGAAAGACCTTTTGAGCCACACCGTGTGAGTTTATTTGCTTTTTTATCCTCATCTGTAAGAATGCACTTTGAAGCAAAGCTTGTTTCTTTTTCAAGAAAAGGGTACTTCACAAGTGCTCCAAGTAACTGTGTTTTAGGGGAAAAATTGTTACCTTGGATAGAATGGCACTCTGTGTATGCTCAGAAGCCAAAACAGTCACTTCTCTTTCATGTGTCCTCCCTTTGATTACATGCCTCAAGGCACAAAAAAGGGGATAATTTCTTAAGTGAGCATGAACTTGCAACATCTCTTTATCAATGTATTGTTGATGGCAGGAATCACTGGGTTATTGTGAGTTTTCTGGACTGTATGGCCATGTTTCAGAAGCATTCTCTCCTGACATTTTGCCTGCATCTATCGCAGACATCCTCATCTCTTTATCACTTCCACTGTCTTCTGGACACATTGATATGAAACCACCCTGCTTTTATTTTACTCAGCAAATATGTTTTTGAAGCCCTCCTATTTCAGTGTATGGGCTTCAACTACTTTTTGTGTGTGTGTGTCAGGAGCGACTTGAGAAACTGCAAGTCGCTTCTGGTGTGAGAGAATTGGCCGTCTGCAAGGACATTGCCCAGGGAATGCCCAGATGTTTTGATGCTTTACCATCCTTGTGGGAGGCTTCTCTCATGTCCCCGCATGGGGAGCTGGAGCTGACAAAGGGAGCTCATCCGCGCTCTTCCCAGATTCGAACCTCCAATCTGTCAGTGTTCAGTCCTGCCAGGACAAGGGTTTAAGCCATTGCTTCACTGGAGGCTCCTTCAACTACCTGATTGCTGGAGACACCAATGCGATGCTCCTGAAGCTGCATCACAAAGCATGCCTGCCAAACCTTGATGTGTCTAGAGAGGGGTTTATGGGCAGAAGAGAAGAAGTGCCTCCAGACAGCCCCCACAAATGCAAACTATGGCTCGGAAATGGTTTCCAGACAGCACCGGACTGTGTGTGCTGGGAAGAGAGGAGGCCATGGCTCCCTGTTCCCGCACAAGCTGCTGGGACCCATGGCTGTGCAGTGAGCGGGGATCTATTGGCTCTCCTGTGGGACAGGCTCCCCAGCACTCAGGAATCATCCAGCGAGTGCCTCTCCTGCCAAGTCCTGCTCATATTTCGGGGAGAGGTCAGCTGGCTTCCATCTGTGTAGGCCTGGCGTGCCTGTAGGTGTGCCAGCCCGGGTCCAGGCGCAGGGCATGCCAGGCTTTTGCGTGCAAGCACCGGCGCTTCTTCCCCTGGAGTGTAAAAAAAAGAGGTTTCTCCCCTAAGTGCATCATGGGGGGCATTCGGGTTGCTTTGTCAGTTAATGTACCAACACAAGAGAGCCTTGCTTGTTGATCCTGCGTGTGTCTCTCCGTGAGGGCGAGAGGGAGAGAGAGCACGCAAGAGACAGGCTAGACACAGCGATTGCGTGGGTTGCTTGCAGCAGCCCGGAGTTTCCTTCCTGGGTCTCCACTGTGGGGTGATGGTGGCAGAGAGCAGCCCCAGGAGTCTTCAGGGCAGGCGGGGGGGGGAGGCTGAGTCAGAGCGCCCTCCGTCCTCGTGGCACCTGGGCGCACTGGGGAAAAGGGGCTGCAAGGGCTGCCTTGGCCCCGCTGGGCTGCCTGCTCGCCCACCAGCCAGGGAGCGAGTGGGCGCCTTGGCCTATTTATGGCAGGGCAAGCGGCAGCGCTGCAGCGAGAGAGGGGTTAAGTGCAGGCTCAGCTGTTCTGGATTTCCTTGGTTTCACAGCGAGCCGTTTGATGTCTGAATGCACAGGGGMCTCCCCCGCCTCTCCGCCCGCCCTCCGCTTCCCTCTCCCCCTCCTTCCCTCCCTCCCCTTCTCTCTCTTTCTCTCTCTCTATTCCCCCCAAACACACACACACACACACACCTCCCAGCCTTTGCGGAGCGAGCCTTCCTTCCTTCCTCCGCTTGAGCTCCTCATGGCACCGCGAGCCTCTTCTTCCTCTTCTTCTTCTTCTTCCTCCTCCTCCTCCTCGTTTTGACTGAGCCGAGGAGGGCGCAGCGTGCGGCGTCTCCCATGGAGCCCTCGTAAAGAGCTCCGCGCCGGGAGCTGCCCAAAGGGGAGCGGGGCGGGGGAAGAAGGAGACACGCGTGTGCGCGTTTGTGAGGAGGAGGAGGAGGAGGAGGAGGCAAGGAAGGAAGGAAGGAAGGAAGAAGCCCTGGGAGCCGAGGGAAGTGCTGCTGCTGCTGCTGCGTCCCGCCAAAGCGCCCCCGGGCTGCCTGGCGCCCCATGCTCTGCTCCATGGCGAACTCCGGCTGCCTCCTGCTCCCCAACTCCGCCTTGCTCCCCCACTCGCTGCCGGGGCCCCCTGCCTTCCTCTACCTCCAGCAGGTAAGCCCTCCTCCTCCTTTGCTCCCGGCAGAGTCAAGGCAGCCCGCCTGTCCCGAGCGTGGCGTGCCTCGCCTTCCCCAAAGGAGGCGCCCCGGTGCGCTGTCCACCCGCAGAGGTGCTGAAGCGGCAGCAGGAGCCGCGCTCCGGGACTTTCCCCCGCTCCCCGGGCGGCGCCTCACGTCTAAGCAGGCTCAACTTTGAGGGATGATGCCTCCTCCTCCTCCTCCTCCTCCTCCTCCTCCCTTGGAAAACGGGTGGCCGCGAGGCATAAGCAGGACGCGCGTGTCTATGACAGCGGCGAAGTCTCTTCTTTCTCAAGCAGCCTTGGTTCAGGCTGTATCGCCATGCTGCTGGAACGGAGCCATACAGCCCCGAAAACTCACAGCAGCCCCGTGATGCCGGCCACTGAAAGCCTTCGACAATACATTGATCCTTATTTGATCTAAAATCCATGGCATCCAATGGTACCATGTGGGTTGTTCATGGGTCTCCCCCTCCCCGCCTCCCATTCCAGTTTTCCTTCTGTTGCAGGGTGTCTGGACGGGAGTGTTCTGCATACATGTGTGGGAAGTCATTGGAAATATAAATCTGTCGGGTTGGCCCTCCAGAGAGTTGCAACCCAGTTCTCAGCCAGCCTTGGTCCTGAATCCATTTCTCCAGGGAGGAATAGCACTGCAATGTGGGTCTAGTGCAGGCATGGGCAAACTTTGGCCCTCCAGCTTACGCAGCTGAGGGGGAAAAGGAAGGGGTCTGAGGCCAGGAATTGTGGGAGTTGAAGTCCAAAAACACCTGGAGGGTGGCCGAGAGGGAAAAGGAAAGGGCCTCAGACCAGGAATTGTGGGACTTGAAGTCCAAAACCACCAGGAGGGTGGCTGAGGGGAAAAGGAAAGGGGCCTGAGGCCAGGAATTGTGGGAGTTTAAGTCCAAAACACCTGAAGGGTGGCTAAAGGGAAAAAGAAAGGACCTATGACCAAGAATTGTGGGAGTTGAAGTCCAAACCACCTGGAGGGTGGCTGAAGGGGAAAAGAAAGGGGGCTGAGGCCAGGAATTGTGGGAGTTGAAGTCCATAATACCTGGAGGGTGGCTGAGGGGGGAAAGGAAAGGGCCTATGACCAGGAATTGTGAGAGTTGAAGTCCAAAACACCTAAAGGTCCTGAAGTTTGGTCTACTGCCTTCCCGTCTCCCACAGGGCCTTCCCAGCCCACACCAACATCAACCCACCCAGCCACACCGCAACACTTCCTTTCCCTTCATGGCCGTGGACCCAAGGCGGCACATGCTTCCTTGCCTAGGAGTCTCCAGAAGGAAGGAAGCCTTGGCTTTTGAAAAAAGAAAGCCTCCTTGCAGCATCAGAAATCCCCATCTCCCTGCTGTGCCCACCCCTCCATTTGTGCTGGAAGGAGTTTCAATATGCATGGCACTGTAACCACTGGCACTTCATTGGTCTATGTATCCAGTCAGCTTTGGGCCAGAAGGTCTTGCCTCTAAGTTCAGAGGCAAAAGAAGGAAAACCACTCTTGCCTAGCTTCCTTCTTTCAAACCATTGAATGGAAGGCTTTAAAATTGCAAATGAAAGACTTCCCTCAAGTTTTGCAGAGTGAAGCAGATGCTTTCCCCCCTCAACTACTCTCTAGAAAAGAGAGATTATCTGAAACACAGTCTTTTCCGAGCTCCTGCTCTCTCTGTACATGTTTGCATGTATGCGTTTAAAGAACTGATCTAGCTGGCAAAGGAGATTTGGTTCTCTTGTAAATGCCGTGACCATCTTCCTTGTGCCTAGGGCTCGCTGGCTCATTCAGAAAATACCCTGCACTTCCTGGTGGCTTGCATTGCATAAGGGACTTATGAATGCCGGAGGGGAACACTTGGGGAATGTCTCATGTTTTCAACTAGACCGTCTGGGCTAAGATGATTAAAACAAGGAGGGTGTTCTCTTCGTGGAATCCCTTTAGGTTTCAGCTTCTGGTCGCACTGCGTAGCACATCAGCCGGCTAACTCTTCAGCAAAGCTGCATGGACACGTTCCCCCGAGACTTATTGCATTTCCCCTAGACCAGGCGAGGAGATGATATTGCAAGCAAGTTCATTAAATGAATGGCTAGAGCCCACAACACCGTCACGGAGGAATTTAGGGGAAGGAGAGGCTTCACTGAGTAGCTTCATTTCCCTAGCCTTTTCCGATGGAGCTTCTTTGCTTGCATTTGGCCTTCCATCTTTTTGGGATATTCCCGAGCCTCTTGATCTTTAGATGCAGGGTTATATTTTTCAGATATGGATAGAAGGAAGGCTGTATAGGCTATAAGTATGTGAGCTATTTTTGGTTTGCTTAGTATTATTTGAAGGCACTATACTTTTTGTTTATCAGAAGTCAGTTCTCTGCTAATTTATAATAGTATATTAAAAATAAGCAAAACATAAAAGGCTGAGAGAGCAGACCTTCCCACTTATAGGCTTGTGCAGAAGCTGTATTTTGCAGTGTGAATGTTCCCATTCTGACCCCATTTTTAAAAACCAGGGGTTGCTTCCTGTGAGACCTGTCTGCATGAGCCATGATGCCAATGAGAGCTTGCACTGCTTCTGGGCCCTATTGCCCAATATTACACAGGATGTAAAAATCCAATTTTTTCAGCAAGTAGGACTGTGTGAAAGGTCTTCAGGACCTATGGAAGCAAACTTTCTAAGGCAGACGGAAAACAGGCATTTTAAGTATTGCTTATTTGTTTATTTATGAGGTATTTACCACATTTGTACCCCGCCCTTCTCGTCCTGAAGGGGACATGTCATCTCATCACACTAGAGAAAAAATCCACTTTAAATCCAGTTGCTGCCTCCTGCAGAATTCTGGGGTATGTAGTTTAGGGGGGAGCCTTTAACAGCCTCACTAAACTATTATTTATTTATTTATTTAAAACAGTTGTATTCTGCTCTTCTCACCCCGAAGGGGACTCAGGGCGGATCACAGCATATACACAGCAAACATTCAATGCCGGGACACAAATTCACATACAATACATAAACATTAAAAAACATCAAAATATTAAAATACACCATTTAAAACCATCCTAAACTACAAACCTCGGAATTCTGTAGGTGGCAGAAACCAGATTTTAAGTGGACTTTTTTCGCTAGTGTGATGAAGAAGTCAGAGCGGCCTCAGAAAAGGCAAGAATTCAATGCCACCCAGTTGCATATCAATGAAATAAACCAATACATTAAAAAACAAACTTAGCAAATCCATTTCTACGCAGCCCCGTAGCACCATAGCAGGCCTTTATCAACAGATAGCTATAGGTTTGTAGCCTCATTTGGTTTATTTCTACTTCTGCTTGATTGCAGGAGCCAAGTAGGAACAACAAGATAACTTCATTTTAGGGTAGGGCCAACACATTTTGGTATATGTGTGAGAAAATCCAAAATAGTGCCTTCTCACCTATCCTCATATAGCAATTATCTAATTTGACAATTAGCCATTCTCCATAGAACCTCAACACTCTCAGCTGAGTGATTCTCTTGCCAATTTCTGTCACTCATATTTTTCCCTGTCAGTTCCTTAGAATCAGACTGTACTCTTTATTAACAGAGATAGGATATTAAGCCAAATATATCATTAATTTAACATAGTGGTTAGATTCAGAGATAGTGTCATGCACAGTTACTGAATTCTGACATGCATCTGAAGTATACTTAGTTAGCCGGTTTCTAGCCACAATAAGCATGTTTAAACCATGGCTTGTTGTTACATCTGAACCTATATTCATGCTTTGACAAACTGTTGTCTTTGGAACAATTGCTGGCTAAAACAACAAATCATGGCTTATAGAAACTGTGGCTTAATGTGATGTGTGAATACAAGTAATATGGTAGCAATCTTAAATTTATGTTGTTATTTGTATTGTCAAAAATAAAGTTCATCACCCAGAAATTTAAAAAAATATTTTGCATTCCCAACTTTGAAAGAGATACTACAAAATCGTTGTATCACAACTGAGTTTTGTTCATGCATCGTTTAACATTTGCATGCAAATCCACAGATGTTCAATACAGAAGGGACCACTGAAATAAGTTCCAGTTAACACTCCCACATCCTATTAAGTATTCAGTGGGTTTCCTTCTGAGCCTCAAAATGGGACAAAAAGAAAGAACTGCAGTATCCTAGTTAGTTGCCTGACGCTCTTAGTGTGCCTCTTAATGGAGCTGTATACAAAGTGAGTGGGATAATGTAGTACTTAGCTCAGCTTGGAAGTGGTGGGGAATGCAGCCAAATATTTTTATATAAGTTTTATTAGCAAGAATTATTTTATTACTTGGAAGATTCAGAACAGTTTAAGAGAGCAAGAAGCTTTGGAATATTAGCATGTGCATCACACAGATTCTTCAGTGTTTAGATAAATAACCAGTATGGGACTAAAGCTTAAATCCTATTGCTAGATGCATTCAGCAATTGGGTTTACCTAAATATTAAATTACCATTTGGCAAATTATCCAGTCGGTCTTCTCTAGCTAAATAATATCAATCTGTTTTATTTTGGAGTCTGCACCAGCAGTTACTGCACATGTATAGCTATATTTTTTAAGTAGTTTGGTGAGGCTGATGGCATATGTGTATGTGTGGAGGTAGAAAGAAAACACAGAGGTTTGTGGCTGATCTTGAAGATTGTTGTTTGTGTGTATTATGCATTTTCAAGTTGTTTGTCAATTTGTGATTTTTTTTCGTGTCAGGAGTGACTTGAGAAACTGCAAGTAGCTTCAGGTTTGAGAGAATTGGCCGTCTGCAAGGCCATTGGCCAAGGGATGCCCGAATGTTTTCATGTTTTACCATCCTTATGGGAGGCTTCTCTCATGTCCCCACATGGAGAGCTGGAGCTGACAGAGGGAGCTCATCCATGCTTTCCCCGGATTCAAACCTCCAACCTGTCAGTCTTCAGTCCTGCCAGCACAAGGGTTTAACCCATTGTTCCACCGGGGGGAGGGGGTCCAATTTGTGATGACCCCATGAATTTG